AAGCGAACGGGTGTGCTTGTGGGGGGGAAAACCCGTTGGGAGCCGGATGCCAGGCCCAAAGGCTAGATTTCATGGCGGGCGCCTTAGGCCCGGGGTCGGAGGTAGAGTCAGTGCACAGTTATGGTGGTGCCGGGGGGGCTGCGGCTGCGGCTGGGCGCGGCGCGCCTTGTCTCCGTAGTTGATGAGCTTGATGTACGAGAGGTCGTCCTCGGAGCCGTCCTCCTGGAGCGAGACGTACACGCGGGCGAAGCGGTTCACCCGCGCGTGGAACTCACGCACGAGCCGCGGAGGGATGTCGTCGCTCTCCTCGAGGGCTTCGGCGGCGGCGGCGGACCAGTCGTATCCGGAGCCGTACCTAGTCGAGGGTCGCCTCGGGTCACCGTCACCTCCGGTGATCTGGAGGGCGGCAGACCCGCCGTCTCTGCGCCCATGATTGCGCGAGGAGCTGGCCCGGGTCGGCCTGCCGGGGGTGGCGGGCGAGGAGGGCACGGCGATGCCGCGCGCGTTCTCCTCCCCCTCGCGCGACTGGCGCGAGTCGCGCGAGTCGCGCGCCTCCGCGCCGCGAGAGAGGCGCCGCTCATGGCGGATCTGCAGACGGGCGAGGGCAGCTGCGAGTCGGTGTGCTGTCGAGGTCGGCCGCGTGAAAGTGGGCGGGGGAGGAGGGGGCGGGAGGGGCGGCGGAGGAGAGGCCGAGTGGGGCCGCCCTCTCTCGGGACGCGCAGTGCGTGCGCGGGGCGGCGCGTGGCTGCTGGTCACCTTGGACAGCAGGTTTTGCTCCATGAGCTTTGCCGAGTTGACTATCACCTCGATGAAGATCACCTTGGCACCGAGGCGCTTGTCTGACTGGATGGTCTCGGCCGCCCAGCGCCGCCGCTCCTTGGAGGTGCACGCCCACTTCTCGTAGAAGCTACCCATCCCGTCTGACGTGAAGATGATGGCCACCTTGCCCGAGTCGACATTCTTGCGCCGCCGGTCCGCCTCGTCCACCAAGAGGTGCTGCTCGGTGTTCTGGATCTCCTCGCGCGCCGCCGCCATCGCCCGCTCGGCGGCGCGCGCCTGCGCGGTCTGGCAGTTCCGCGGCACCGGCACCGTCATGTTCCCGCCCGCCCGCCTCGCCGCCTCGCCCGACGAGTTGAGGAAGAGCTTGAGGTCGCGCGTGAGCGTGTTGGCCGACGCCTCGATGCGACACTCGTCCTGCGGTTGCGCCGCGTGGCCAATGTCGACGGGCTGGCAGCCCATGTACCTGCGCATCGAAGCCGCGGTGAGCGGCGCCTTTGCAGCGGTGGTGTGCACTGGAGCGGGGCGGCGGCGCGACGCACTCTGCGACGTCAAAGAGCTTGACCTCTGCGCCGTGGAAAAAGTAGAGGTACTTTGAGAGACGCTGTGCGATGAAGCACTTGCCGCGCTCCGGCAGACCAATCACGATGAGCACATGGCGCACGCCGATCAGGCCTGCCATCCCGGCCGAGGGCGGTGGGACGGAGGTCGGCAGCGGGTTCTCGGACGTCGGCCTGAGCAGGTGCTCCTGGCTTTTCACGTACACGTCGTTGAGCGCGCCGGAGCTCTCCACGCGGGGTCTCGGCTCCATGCTGCGTCGGCCTTGTCTTTCAGGTTCTCTTCGCACCGCTCCTCAGAATTCGGCAATTTGCAGAAAGAATTTTACGCGCCCAAGTGCCCTGCCATCCCTCCCTTGCTGTCGTCCTCCCATCCCTCCCTTGGGTTGTCCGTTTTCTTTCTTTTCTTTCTTTGCTGTCATATCCTATGCGAGAGAGATCCCCTGTGCCCTGTGCCCAGCCCTCTCCGCGCGGCGATGCGCCCTCCCCCCTCGCTTTTGCAAAATCCTGCAAAGGTGGGGACGTGTCTGTCCTCGACCCAGCCCTAGCTTGGGATGTCCGTTGTATTTATTTATTTATTGCTGTCTGTTTTCTTTCTTTCTTTCTGTAGCCAAACAGCGCTTGAACCCAGGGCGTTCAAGCTACGCGGAGAAGAACAACAACGGCGACTCGCCGTACTCGGTCTCTTTCACCGCGACGCAGAGCGGCGACGTCACCGTCCATCTCCACCCTCACTCGCAGCTCGAGCGCGCAGTCCGCCACGAGCGGCAGGCGCAGGCTGTGGAGCCGCCCACGAGCGCGAGCCCTACGGCGCCGCCGGCCCCAGCCGCCGCGCCGCCGGCTGCTGAGCCCGTGAGCGCCAAGACGTATGCCGCCGCAGCTTACCCGCACACCCGCAGGGAGCCCTGAGGGAGGGTGTAGAGGATGTAGAGTGCTGAGGGAGGGTAGAGGATGTAGAGTGTAGAGCGCTGTAGGTAGAGCTGTAGAGAGATGTAGAGCGCTCTGGAGCGCTGTAGAGCTCTGATAGAGCTGTAGAGCTCTACATCCGCCGCGTGACGAGGCGCGTGCCCCGTGCGTTGTAGAGCGATGTAGAGGCGCTCTACAACGTGAAATCTCTACAACAAACTCTGCATGATAAGCGGCGAACGAGGCACGGTCGCTCTCCGACATGAGGCGCGTTGCACTCTTGCCAGTGCTGCCCTGGCCTTCTGTCTGCCCGCCCAATGGGTAGGAGGTGCCTCTGCTGCTGTGGCATACCTCACGGCTGCGACTGGCCGGCGCCTCGGCGCGTCAGCTCGGCTTGGCGTAGCGATCGTGGCCAGCACAACTCGCCTGGACTCAACGCTCAGCCAGGAGCTTCCGCACGCGCTGGCGCGAGTCATGGCGCATGCAGCGCGTCTGAATGCTCGCCTCTCGCCTCGCGCAAATTCGACCGTCCTCGCAGCCGACAGTCCACCGCCTGCTAAAGAAGCACAGCGATGAATGCGGCACCGGCGACGCATGGCAGGCTGGTCATGACGCAGTCATAGGGGGTTGTGTGCCGTCAGAGTGACTCTCTGTGTGTCAGGGATAGTCAGGGCCGTCCATCAGAGCTCCAGTAAGCTCGGAGACACCCCATTAGTGCGACTCGGCCTCTTTGAGTCACTGCCTTCCCGGCGGTTTGGCTGTAGAGCCTCTACAACAAACTCCACAGCAAAATCGCGCTCTACATCGCTCTACAACGCACGCGCCTCGTCAGGCGACGGCCCCTTATGGGCCGTCGAAGAGGCCGGCGTACTCCTCCGGCCGACCCCTCTCCCAATCCTCCCCGGGCTCTCGCTCCTCCTCCTTCGCTAGCGCCCTCGCCCCCCGCCGGCGGCGATTCCGTGCGGCCGGCCGTCGCCCCCTCCCCCTCCCCACCCCCATCACGGCCGGAGCCGTACCACCCAGCGCGCACACGGAAGGAGGACTGAGCCTCAACCCTGTCCGCCCTCACCGCCCGCACGGCGGCGTCGCACGCCTCAGCCCGCGAAGCGCCTGCAGCTTCGCCGCGGCGGTCGCCGAAAAAGAAAGCGCGTTCCTAGGCCGCGCATCGGTACTCGTCTTGGTTGCCAACACATACCTAAGATCGGTACTCGTAAGGACGTGACCCGCTCCCACGTCTAGCGCTACACGTCCAGTGCTACCAGGCATCCGATGCACGCCTTCACCGACGCCGAGCGTCGCGAGCTGATCACGGACCAGTCGAACGCCGTGCGGCGAGCGATGAACGAGGGCAACCTCACGACCGCACGTCGAAACCGGACGTGGCTTGTCATCGTCGGCGCGCTGCTGCTGTTTTCGGCCTACCGGTTGATGCGCGGCACGAGCGTGGTGACTACGCTCGCAGCAGCGGACGCTTCGCGGGCAGAGGAGAGCGCAGGGAGGTTGCCGCTCGCAAAGGTCGCAGCGGGCATATAAAGAAAAGTAGAACCGGCAAACTCAGACGCATAAAGACAAAGAGACACGAGGTGTTGTGTATTTTTGTGTGCGGTGTGTGATCACCTTCACCCAGCCGCGCAACACGCCGCACACAGCGTCTCACCGCTTCGCGAGCGACAGTCCGCCCACCGATTTGCCGTGCGACGCAAAGAACACGAGCGGCTCGTCGATGAGGGCGTGGAGGGAGTGGCCATCGATGTCCTTGCTCTCGACGAGAGACTTGTAGAGGCGTGCCGAGACCTGCGCCTCTCGCACGCGGTACTCTGCACGCATGAGCTTCGCCGCAGCCTCCTCGTCCTCGAGCGCGGCCCGCCAGCTCTCGTACTTTCCCATGTGCGCCTTCCACTCGGCCTCGCGCCTCGCGAGCCGCTCCTCCCACATCCTCGAGACGCGCACTGCGCCTTGGCGGCGGCGGGCGCTCTCCTTGCTGAGCCTTGTCAGGAGCAGGAGAACTAGGAGAGCGCAACCAGTAGGAGGCCCGCGCTTGCCCCCGTGCCGCCGGGTGCAACCTGTCCTATACGAGAGATGGGATTCCTGTCGTGAGGGTGAACCCCCTGCCCAGCCCCCCTCCGTGTCGCGATGCGCTCCCCGCTCCCGTTCCCCTGTGTCCCTGATCGTCCTACAAGATCCTGCTTGTGCAGGTGGGGACCCTGTCCTTCTCCCACCCCTCGTTTGGCGTGTCCGTTGTATTTATTTATTTTATTTATTAAAGTACATACATTCTTTGTCTGCTCCTGTGGTGCGGGCGACGGCTTCTGAGGAAGCCGTCGCCCGCGCCTCGCCTGTCGCGTGAATCGTGTCGTGGAGCACTTGGAGCACTTGGAGTGCAGTCATCAACCTCTGGCACCGCCTTTCCTGCAAAATTTCTTTGTCATCCATCTGTTCGCTACCGAGTGCGAGGAGTGCGAGGCCTACGGACGAGGCGCTCTCAATCCGCGTAGAGTCGGCTCGATGCCAATGGCGCTCGCCTGCGCGACCCTCCTATCCATCGGCTTTGTCGGGCCGCAGGGGCCTATCCGTCGGACTGCAGTCGTCGGCCCGCGTGCCAGATCGGCCCGCTGCTGCGACGCCGGCGACGAGCCCGCCGAGTCGGCGCTCAAGAGCCTGTTCACCACGAACCGCGACTCGCCCGACGCGAGAGCCAACCAGCTCGCGTGGGCGCGGAGGCAGATGGAGGCGGAGGTGCCGCAGACGACGCTCGACGGCGCGCCCATCGCCGGCCGCGACGACCTCATCCGCAAGTACATTGCAGCGGAGAAGGAGAAGCTGGGGCGCGAGCTGGAGTGGGAGGAGGCGGCGGGCGAGGTTGACGCGTGGCTGCTGAAGCAGGCCACCGCGGCGCCCGCCAAGACGTCGGCGGCGGACGTCGGCGCCGCGCTGGCCGTCTTTGCGGCCGCCTTTGCGCTGCAGCTCTACTTCTCCTCGCGGTGACCGGCTTCTTCGCCGTGAGTGCGAGAGTGGGGGGGGGGAGGGATCGCCACCGATCGCCTCGGCCTCCGTCATTAGTAATGTATCCGGTCTGACCGAATCTTCGGCTGGTGTGTATCGCGGCCCGCCATAAATCACACCTCCACGTGGACTCCACGCGCTGCCCGCCTGCGCCCGAACGCCGAACCCCCTGGTCAACTCACCCTCCACACCCCGTAGCAAAAGTGAGAGGGAGGCTGCTTCGTAAATTAAAATTCGTTTTTCGTTACTATAAAATGTAACTAAAATGCAGGGGGACCCCGCGGGAGGGGCAAGAACCGAGCATCGCGCCTTTAGTTATGAGCGTAGCGAAATCTTCACAGGTGGTACTGCTGCAGCAGCCAGCGTGCGTGAGGCTGAATGCCGCGGCTGTCCGTCAGCCCGTGAGTGATGTTGCCGCCGCGCACCCGTTTCACCCATCGATTCGCGTTCTTGATGATCGTCTGGCACAGCTGCGGGTGCGCCTCCAGCCACTTCATCAACGTGTCCCACTTACTTGGGTCCTCCAGCGGCACGTAGTGCACAAAGGGAATGAGTAGCCCTTCCATGAGCCATGTTTCCCATCGTGGAACGGGCATGACCACCAGGCTCGAGCTCGCCAGCTGCCACGCCAGGTTGGTCGCATACGAGTTGCCCTCCAGGGATAGGACGTAACGATACTGGAGCGTCTCTCGCTGCGTCATGCGCTCGCCTTTGTGTTCGGGCTTCGAGATCCACGAGTCTTTGCCCTGGACCACCTGGGTGAAGCGAACGTTAAAGAACGCCTCGGAGAGCGCGTGCACATAGCGCCTCCGCCTGCCGGTGGTGGAGCCGCGCCACACGAGCGCCGCCTTCTTCTCGCGCCATGGCGGCATTGCGGCGGAGAGCCGCACTGCTTCGTTAACTACTTCGCCGAGGTGCCGCTCCCACTCCAAGGGTAGAACGATGCCACGCTTCCTGGAGATGAGGCGATTTTTTGTGAAGACAGGTGCAGAGCAGCCTAGTGTGAGCTGCTCTTCCTGGTCGCCGAGCTGCACCAGGTACTTCGTTCCGAGGGGGATCTCGCTTGCGGAGCATGTCGCCGTCATGTCATCCCACAGAGGGCACAGGGCCGAGGTAGGACAAGGCTTGCCGTGGGTAAAGACCATGATCTTGTCGACGCCTGGTGTGGCGTTCTTCCATGTCTCCAGCATGCACCCGGTGTGCGCACTGGCAGCGTAGTACGCAGTCCGAAAGCTCGCCGGAAAGGCGTCTTGGCTGTGCATCACGTCGTCGGCTATCGTCACGGTTGGCAGCGCCGCTGCCGGGAGCGGTAGCGCGATCGTGTTTGGCAGCATGGACGCAAAGCCGCCAATGCCGCACATTCCGATTACCGCCAGACCAAAGATCGTGGTCCGGCAAGGTCCTGCAGAGCTGGCGCCCTGCGATGACTTCTTGATGGCGGGCTTGCCCATCGATGCGAACCGGCGGAACGCCTCGAAGAAGAGAGCCGAGATTGCCGAGACGAGCACGAAGAAGCCAGACGGGCAGGCGAAGCAGGGCCAAGAGAAGTAGTTTGTGTCGCCCGAGGGAGCCGAGTCGGACGGCTCGCTTACGCAGCCGGTGGACGCCTCCTTGCCCTTCTCCTTGGCCTTCTCGTCCTCCTCCTCGTCGTACGCTTCGATCTCCGCGTTCGTCTCGGCGTCGTCGAGCAGATCGTACTTGTTGAAGACCTTCGTGGACTTGACCTCGCCCTTGCGCTCCGTCTTGTTGCGCGAGTTCAAGACGGTCCAGTCGGCGTCGCCCTACGCAATGATAAGGAGGGACGGGGTCAGAGAGTGGGTCCGTAGACGCACGGCGCAGAATGCAAGGCGCTCGCTGCCGGGGCGGGCGTCTCCTCCGGAAAGTCGTTGATCGTCGACAGCGGCGCGCCGCCAGGCGCCGCCGGCTTGAGGGCCGTGGCGACCTTGGTGACCGGCTTGAGCGCCGGGTCGTTCTTGATGACGCAGGTCTCGGCGTCAAAGGAGGCCTCCGCGCCAGACTTTGCGGGGACGTCCTTTGCGAGGGTGTTCTTGGCGCCGCTCACCTGTGGGCGAGGGAGTTTGGGGATGTCCCGGCCGCCCAGCTGATCTATCAGTGCTAAACTTGTCGGACGCATCGCGCAGGGCGCGGGGAGAGGAGAGGGAGCGACAACCGAGGTCATCGCTCCGCGAGGGGCGCCCCCCGGCGGACGAGGAACGAGTCACCGTTCACAGTTGTTGCTGTGAATGGACTCTTCGGGTCGGCTGCTGTTGCCAGTACTCTTTTGCTTTCAGCCTGCTGTGGAAACAGCTCACATTGTCTCACAAGAACTTATCAGCCGCCAAGGGGAAGAAGGGGGGGGAAGGGGGGGCCGCCGCCGAGCGGAGCCACCTCCGCAAGGCCGTTGGCGCTCGACAGCCAACGCATGCGCCTGAGCGTGACTGCGTGAGTCTGATGGCACACGTCATGGATTTCAAAGAGACAGCCATCCGGGAACCGCTATCTCATGATTATTATATTTATGTTTAGGTGATCCACTCCACAAATATAGCTCCGCTTGCGTGCCTTGCTTGGGTTGTCGTCACCGCTGCTCCCCTAAACTGTCCCTATACCATTATTATTATATTACTAGTATTATTGTTGTCGTTTGAAAATCCTCCCCTAAACTGTCCATTAAGTATTCGTAGCCTCCAAGCTGGCCCGCGGAGAGGCTGGGAGCCGCGGCACTGGTCCGCGCCGCCAGCGGGGCGAGAGCAGCAGCCGACAACCAGCCGACATGGCAGTTGCGATGGCGCTTTCACAACACACACACACGCACTGTGTGTCCTATGTGAGCGGCTACTCGCTGTCGTAAGGTACGACGCACGGCTATCTCAGGCCGCACCGGACGCGGCGCGTGGATGGGCGTAAGGCCGGTCGCTCTGCCTCGATCCGGGCACGCTCGCGCAGCTGCGAGTAGCCTCCATGCCTACTGCGCTCCCGTGACGCCCGAAGCGGGCCCGCGCCATGCTCATCCCATTTTACGATGCTGACGCTCGTCCGCCGTCGCTGCCTGCTCGCAGGTCCAAAACCAGGTGGGGCGAGGGGCGCCGCCGCGGCTTCTCACGGGCTGGGCTCTCACGCTGCTCACGCTGCGAGTAGGTGCGGCCCTCTTGAGCCCCCCTTCCTCTCCATGCCGGTCACCGAAGACGATCCGGCGCCGCTGCCGTCGATCAAGGAGTTTCCAGCGGAGATGCCCGCCCCGGCGGCGAGCGCCTCGCATTCTGCGGCTCCACCCGCCCCCCGCTTTCATTGCGTAGGGCGACGCCGACTGGGCCGTCTCGGCGGCCAAGGAGTTTCCAGCGGAGGAGCCCGCTCCGGCGGTGGGCGCCTCGCACGCTGCGGTGCACACGCGGAGCTCAACAATAGACGCACCCACCGCTTGCGCGCGCGTAGGGCATCGCCGACTGGACCACCCCGTCGGACCCGCGCCGCAAGAACGGGCGCAAGGGCGCACGTCCGCCCCGATCTGCCGCGTCAAGAACATCTCCCCAGTTCGGCGGCAGCAACGGGTTCGGATGCCTGCTCGGAACGGACGGCAACGAGGGCATCCTCGGTGGCAAAGGCAAGGCGACCGGCGGCTCCACGCCGTCGACAACAGACTCGGTGCTCGCCGCCTGCGTATGCGGCCTCCTCCCCCGCTCGCCGCTCTCGCACGACCAGTCTCGCGCCCTCCTGTTCAGGGTGCGACGGTCGACGTCGAGACGACCACGATTACCACGCTGGAGGGCTCCGTCTCTGCCTCCGGCCGGTTCCCGTGGTCAAAGTCCTACAGCTTGCTCCGCCTCTTTAGCATCCTCGCGCTGTTCTGCCTCGGAGCCGCGTTTGCGCACTCCTCGTACTCTGCCACCGCCGCGCTTCTCTCCTCGCAGCGGTACGACTGGCCGTGGCCGCGAGCGGCTGCAGCGCCGCCTCCACCCACGCCGTTGCTTCACTTGGCCGCGAGCGCGAATGAACTTCCGAAGGAGCAGCCCGAAGGCGAGCCGACGCTCGCCGACGGCTGCCGCTACGTCTTCCTTGACGTGGGCTCAAACATCGGCAACCACGTGCGGTTCCTCTACGAAGCGGAGAAATTTCCGGGAAGCTCATACGCCAAAATATTCAACGAGACCTTCCCGGTTAATCGAGGGAGGCCGGATGTGTGCGCGTTCGGATGGGAGGCAAACTCGGCGCACGTGCCGTGGCTAAACCGTCTCCAGCAGGCGTACAAGCAGCAAGGATGGCTCGCGCACTGGTTTGCTCCCGTGGCGGTGGCAGACAAGGATGGCACCATTGAATTCTGGCACGTGAACGATACGTACGACAAGAGCCACAACGAGTGGAGCTACTCGATGCGACATCTTGGCGCAGGGTTCAAGGAGGTCGTCCGTGCCATGGATTTGGCTCGGTGGATCAACGCGCATGTGCATCGCCGACGCGTGCCCGACGCGATCCGTGAGGACGACCCGCCCCCAGCTGTGGTGATGAAGATGGACATTGAGGGCTCCGAGTTCTCCGTCCTGCCCAGCCTATTGGCCACCGGCGCAATGTGCTCCATCTCCTATTTGACCGTCGAGTACCATTGCGCCGGTAGCCCTAAAAAAAAAGACAAGTGTCACATCAGGAAGAAGCACCTGAAGGATGCCCTGGACAGTGTCCATAAAGAATGCCCTGGAAACGTCAAGAAGCTGAAAGCCTCTCAACTCGATGACGAGGCATACGCGCTTAGAAGCTGCATAGACACCACGCATTCAGCTGTATTTCTCAGCTGTATTGTACTCGTAGCCCCTGAATCACGCGATGACATAGCGTGTTCACACCCTGACGGTTGCCGTTCGTGCGGTAGGCATACGCGGTGAACTCAATACCGCTCCCACGTGCACAAGATACCTCCGACCTCGAGACTTCGGCCATGGCGCTGCCAAAGTCGGACCTCACAAGATACCTTACCGACAACATTCGAAGGCCAGCCCGGCGCCACTTCCCCCAGCGAGCGCATTATCGACAGGACGCGCATGAGCGCCCGGCCCAGCGCACGTGATCCGGTGCGCGACGGTTCTGGCGGCGCGATTTTGGGGTGAACCGTTTTGGGGGGCGGGCGATGCGCAAACGATCCATCGGCCCTCATGATCTAAATTGCACCCGTTCCGGCGCTAACACGCTTCCAATGTCCCCTGAGCTCCGGCAGCTGTCGAGACACATTGTGGTGCGGACTCCGCGAGGCGCTGCCGGGAACTTTCCGATCTCGCGCTGCCCGAATGCAGTCGACAGCGCGTGGAAGAATGCCTCGCTGCTATTGCCCAACCTGTTTCTTCTATTGGAGCTCGCATCACGCTTACACGTTACAGAAAGATGGTAGGTTCGAGGAAGAATATTTTCTTTGTAATAAAAAAGAAATGCCGTCGGCAAAGGATGGCCTCCCACCGAGGGGGGGCGAGGGTTGGGGAGATTTCTGCCTCGGGGAGGGGCAGTCGGAGGGGCAGACAGAGGGGCAGATCCCCTTGCAGCCTACACTACAACAACAGCAGCGGAGGGGCCGCCAAATCGAATTCGCGGTAAATTCCTGTGGGTTCGGCCCCGGGCGCGGGGTAAGCGGGAGCGGTAGGGGACCCGCGGGTGTGAAGCGGTAGCGGTAATCCGGCCCGCGGGCGGCGGAGGTAGCGGTAACAGGGACGGCCGGCAGCCCACGGCTGGCTGTCCGTGTTCCTAGACCTAGGTAGCCCCGACGGTTATGGACGGCCGGCGCGCTTCGGCCTCTCGCCGTCTCAGCGCTTCGCTCGCTCCGCTCGCTGCTGGACCCTACCGTCCGCGGTGCGTGAGCAAATGCTGAGCGGCCGCGGGTCGCCGTCGGGCGGGTCGCAACGTCACGACGGCCACAGCCGCAGCCGCAGCCGTGATTCGCGGTATGATCGGCGGGGTGATCGGCGCGATGATCGGCGCGATGAGGGACGCAGCGGTCGACGCGACGGGCGATACGACGACCGGCGGCAGCGCAGCCGCAGCTCATCGCGTGGCCGGCGCAGCGACCGGCACAATGACCGGCAGCGTCACAGCCGCAGCTCCAGCCAAGAGCGTCGCCGGCGGCGGCATTGGCGCGACCGGAGCCGGAGCCGGAGCCGGAGCCGGAGCAGCTTGGGGTCGCTGCGCCTGAGTTGCACAATTCCGGGAGCATCCCGCCCGCGCGCTGCTTGATTCCCGAGCGGCACAATGGCGGGACGTGGACGCTCAGATCGCTCACGGCGTTTGCGGTCAGCAAGCTCGAGTTGACGCCCGGCTCGTCCGTCTTGCTTCGTCGCAAGGGGAGGGGCGGCGGGGTGCCTGAGCTCATGAACTCTGACGATCTCGTCCAGATTTGGCTTCACACCTTCCCCCAGCTGGAGGAGCTCGAGGCGTACGAGGTGGCCTCTTCTCACAGGCCTACACCGCACAACCGCGGCGTCGCGCAGCTCCAGGTCAACAAGTCCACGGCGGCGGCGGCCAGCACGATGGCGGCGGCGGTGACACCTGGCTCGAACCCCTTCAACAATCCCCCGCAGCAGAGCCGCCGCAAGCCGAGCTCGAGCGGCTTGGCCCTCCCCGGCCGGGATCAGTACGCAGATCTGATTGCGGCAGCAGGGGGTACTTCTCGTCGACGTCGACGAGAAGCTTGCCAAGTTTGCCGGGCCGCGGGATGCCTCTGGCGCCCTGTTGCCGGCCAACGTTGTGTGGGACGGCGCGAGCGGCGCGGGCGGCGCGAGCGGCTCGGGCGGCGCGGGCGGCGCGGGCGAAGAGAACGAGGTGTCAAGCATGGCGGACGATGCGGCGCGTGAGACGGCGCCAGAGACCGAGGGTGAGGCGCAGGGCGAGGTGGAGAGCGAGGCGGCGCGCGAGACGGCGGGCGAGGCGGCGGGCGAGATGGCGCGCGAGGCGGCGGGCGAGATGGCGGGCGAGGCGGCGGGCGCGGCGGCGGGCGAGGCGGAGGGCGAGGAGGAGACGGACCACGGAGCCGCAGAGGATGGGGACGATGGCGAGGCGGCACGTGTGCCCTGCGCTGAGGAGAGCGCGTTGCACACGGAGCGAGCCCAGCTGCATCTCAACATCGGGCGGCTCGAGGAGTCGCTCAAAGCGTTTGATGTGCCGGCTGTCAACGATGCGGTGCTAAAGGACTCAAACGACATCGAGTATTTCGACCAGATTGTGGCGCTGTGCGGCGCGGCGCAGAGGCGGCACGTGCAGCCGACACGTCGAGCACGGGTCGCAAGCGCACAATTTCGGGCTATCAGGCTGGCTTGCAAGCGCAGCGCAGCCGCCGCGGCTAAGTCTCGGACTCGATCACGATCTCGGACGGCAGATTTTCTTTTATTCTCCCGGGTTTGATTGTTTTATCTTTTAAAAGGCTAAAGGGCCTTCGAGGCTTCATACACCAGTTATCCATTCAGTAATTATTCTTCTTCTTTTTTTCGGCCCTGGAATATTCTATTTTTTCCTCGCAAACGTGAAGTCGACTGAGTGTCTTGTCTTGTGGTTCTGTGTGTCGCTCCTGTGTGACCGTCATCGCCCGTCTAGCGTCCACCCATACCGCGTCGGTGTCCCAGTCGTTGGTCGGACTGTGTTTCGCCTTCCCGAGGGCCCAACTTGAGAATCGTGCTAATTTGGGTTACTGTAGGGATGAAGGCGAAGGACCGACGACGGTGAAGGACCGCAGGTTAGGGACCGATCGCCGCCGCTCACGCCAGCGGACGGTCGTCGTCAGTGATGTTAGCTACGCCACCGTCTACCTCGTGCGACATGCGCTCGCCGGCATCGAGCGAGCAACGTGTTCGACCGAGCGGCTTGCTGTGCGGACGGCTTCTTGTGGCTCTCGTCGAGAGCGTTTTGCGGCCCGGCGGGTGGGAGAACATGTGTCGTCTGATGTGTCACTGTGTACGTCATATCAGTCTTGATAACAAGTACGGTCGATCCGTCAAAGCGATACACTCGTCACGATCACGTTGGACGGCTGGCACGGAGCCCTCTGTGCCGGCACACACAGGAAGAGCTGTACGGCAAGAAGAGCTCGATGGGGAGCGAGAACCGTCAGAGGAGGTTCAGGGGCAACCTGAGTCCTCCGTGACGCGCTCAATCGCTCCCAAGCGGGTGGCTCTCGAAAATCGTCGATATCTTCCGAAAAGACTGCTCTTGCCGCAGCAGCCGACGCGATGCAGACGGAGGCGCAGAAAGGCTACGAGTACTCAACGAGTTCCGCGACCTACGCAGTCAAACCTGGGGGGAACTGACCGCATCAAGGCGGACTTCCGAAACCTCCGTGAGCACCTTTGGCGATTCTCGCTCCCCATCGAGCTCTTCTTGCCGTCGGCTCTTCCTGACTTCCTGTGTGCCGGCACAGAGCTCCGTGCAAGCCGTTGAACGTGATCGTGACGAGTGTATCGCTTGACGGATCGACCGTACTTGTTATCCACATCGATGTGACGCACACAGTGACACATCAGACGACACATTCTCCCACCCGCCGGGACGCAAAACGCTCTCGACGAGAGCCACAAGAAGCCGTCCGCACAGCAAGCCGCTCCTCGGACAGGCGAGCTCGCTCGATGTCGGCGAGCGCATTGCGCACGCTTTGGACGGTGGCGAAGCCAAAAACACCGATGGTGGCCGTCCGCTGGGGTGAGCGGTGGCGATCGGTCCCTAACCTGTCGCTCGCGGTCTTTCGCTCGACGACACCGTGGAGAATCGCACCGAGGACCTTGCCGAGGCGATAGGCCGAATCACTTTGGGCCCCGCCCCCGCCCCCACCCCTCGGGGTGGGGGCACCCGCCCCTGTCGGGCGCCGCTTGCGGCGCCTGGCAGGGGCACCCCCTGGGTGGGGGCCGGCGATTCCCATGCCGGCTCTCCGCCACAACCCCCGCCGGGAGGGAATCCCTGCTCACAGAAAAGGGCTTCGAGCCCTGTCTCGCGCACGCCCCTGGCGGGCGCCGCGGACCAGTTCCGCGAGCGCTCGTCAGCGGGTGGTGTGCGGTTCTTGCCGTAGTTCCTCTTCGGTCGCCTAGCCCCGGCGCCGTCTGGCGGACGCCTGCGTGTCACGAGTGCGAGCCGCTCGCGGTTCGTACGCCCGCTTGCGGGTTCGAGTGGCGGGCTATCCCGCTTGCGGGATGGCTTAGCGGGTTCGAGCCGTCACACATTGGCTGCCGGGGTGTGCCGAGGGGGGGCTGGGTGGGCGGTAAGCCGTCATTGCCCGGCGCTGCTTGCAGCGCTCTGGGTGGTAGTGGCGGCGCTCCAAGAGTGGTGCTCTTGGGAAGAGGTTCCTCCTTTCCGCTCCCCCCCCGCAAGGCGCGAGACACGGTCCCTAACCCAAAAGTGGTCCTTCGCGCTTTGGTCCCTAACCAAAAAAGCACGATTCTCAAGTTGGGCCCTCTTCCCATCAATCAATCAAGTCGACTAGCACTAGGCCGGCTGCACCTATAAGTGACTGAGTGAGTGGGGTCTAGCGGTAGCGGTAAACAGCGGGCGGCCTCTGGCGGTAGCGGTAAAGGCGCAGCGAGGTGTGAACAGGTAGTCCTGCATCGCTCTACCGCGCGGGCCGAGTGGGTGCCTGCCCGCTGTCCCCGCTTGTTGCTTGCTCGCACAATGATGTCCTTGCTCGGACTCGGAGCCGCCACCGGAATCAACATCGGCGCGACGAAACTCACACCTCTCCTCAGCGGCCGCGTCGCTGCCGCCGCGACGCCAGTAACCCTCTCATCGCTCTACGAGGAGCGAGGAGCGGTTATCTTTGCCGTTCGCCGACCCGGATGACCGCTCTGCCGAGAGGAAGCTGCGGATCTGTGCAGCGCACTCTCTGGCATCGACGTCCCGGTCGCCGGTGTCGTGAAGGAGGAGGAGAAGCCTCCCGACACGGACGCGGACAAGATGCTCGGGGTGGCGGAGTTTGAGGAGCAGTACTTTTGCGGCCCGCTGTACCTGTCGGACGAGGACAGGACGCTGTACCAGCACCTCGGCAACCAGCCCATCTTCACGCTCGGCACGCTGGCGCGGGCTCTACTGAATCCGTTCAAGGCGCGGCGC